TATTTTTTCTTCTACTTTCAATAATACAGATTTGTTGAATAATTGTGAATTTCTTGAATCTCTTAAAATAATGTGGATTTACTGTGGCATAATAGACTTGTCCTTGTTCCCTTTGTAAAATGAGAAATATATCCCAATAAAGTTTTCTCCCAAACAACCCTTTATGTGCACCATATGCCCTATGGCAAGGGAAGTCAGGTTGTAATTCACCCACAACACAACTCATTCTAAGACTATTTTTGACCTTCTACACATTGTGAAGACCTTATCATGTTCTTACATATGATAATTACAAATAGTTCACTGCTCTTGTGGTTGATTACAGTAAGGCTACCTGGACATATATGTTGAGTACCAAAAGTAATGTCATACAAGTTCTTCAAAACTTTGTAAACATGATAGAAAATCAGTTCAAACAATCATAAAATACATCAGGTCTTGACAAAGGAATAGAATTCAACAACACTGATACACACAAATTCCTTCAAGCCAAAGGCATCACAAATCAGAAAAATTGCTCTTATACACCACAACAAAACAACATAGTAGAAAGAAAGCACAAATACTTGCTGAAAACAGCCATATGTCTCCTTTTCTCAATCCTACATGTACTGGGGTGATTGTTTTCTTACAGTCACATACCTTATAAATACGCTTCCTTTCACGTTCCTCCAAAACAAATGTCCTTATGAAATATTTTACAAAGAAAACCCAAAATATAACGAATTAAGATCCTTTGGATGTCTTTGTTACCCCACAATGACTAAAGTCCATATAGACAAACTAGAACCAAGAACCACACCCCATATTTTTGTAGCATACCCCCTCTGTAACCAAAGGATACAAGGTAATGTGTCTTGCGACAAAAAAAATACAAATTGCTAGATATGTGGTCTTTCATGAGAATACTTTTTCATTTGCTCTATCTTCAAAAATGCACTTTTCCTTATGTTCTTAAATCTTGTTCTCCTGATTATACTGAACACTGTGATACATTTGGAAACAATCATTTGGATTAATTGATGATTATACTAACTTGTCACTTAGTCTCAGTCCACATTCATCACCACCTCAGTCCTCACATTCATCACTACATACACATACTGAAATACCAGCTCCACCAATACCACTGATAAGATCTAACAGCGAAATAAAGACACCTTCCCATTTAAAGGATTATGTCTTGTCTATCCCTACTCTAAAATCTCCACTAGTCCTAATTCCACTACAATTCCTAACAATAACCAAAATAACCTGTCACTTAATGCACTGTTCAATAAAAACCGTTGTATAACTCCTAATGTCATTGCTTCTAAAAGTCAAGCCTTGGTTGAAAGAATTTGTTGTGACAATGAGTAATGTTCTTATGAGCAAGCAACATTATGTCATGCCTGGAAGAAGTCTATGGAACAAGAACTTGGTGCATTGCATGGTAATAGAACTCTGGATCTGGTCAAATTACCTACAGATAAACAAGCTATTGCATCTAAATGGATTTATAAAGTGAAGCACAAAGTTGATAGTAGCATAGAGACGTTCAACGCTAGACTGATGGTTAAGGTCTACACTCAACATCTTGAAATAGATTACACAGAACCATATTCACCTGTTTTTAAAATGACCACTGTGAGAACCTTGGTAGATGTGGTTTGGAAAAGCGTTAAGAAAATTTCCAACTTTATGTCAATAATGAATTTCTACATGCTGATATTTATGAAGAAATTTATAAGGAAGTGCCTCAAGTTCTTGATGTGAGTGAATTAGACTTAGTTTGTAAGCTTAATAAGTCTCTCTATGGACTTAAATAAGCCAGCAGACAACAATATGCTAAGATTACTGAAGCACTGTCCCTTAGAGGCTATATACATTCAGAGCATGATTACTTTTTGTTCTACAAGATATCTGATTTATTGGTGGTGTTTGTGGAAGTTTATGTTAAAGACATAGTATTGACAGGAACAGATACAACTGAATTAAACAGTTAAAGACCCACATAGACAAGACATTCAAGATTAAAGACGTTTGCAAACTACATTATTTATTGGGTATGGATATTCTTGATGCTGTAGGAAGGGTACTTATTTCACAAAGGAAGTTTGTATTGGACTTATTAAAGGAGTATGCTTGTTTCAGTTACGCTTCCTTATCATCTCCCCTTGATCCTAATATCAAGCTCAAGTTCAAGGAGGGAACTCCACTTTCTGATCCCACTTATTATACAAAACTTGTGGAGAAACTAAACTTCCTCACTAACACCTGATTGTACATAGCTTTTAGTGTTCAATTGTTGAGTCAGTTCATGCAAGACCCCAGAAATCCCCACTTACAATAAACTTTTCACTTACTTAGATACTTAAAACAAGATCCTACCATGGGAATTTACTTGTCAATGACCCTGATTGTACTATGAAGGCAAACTGTGATTAAAACTGGGCCACTTACAGGAACCTGTAAGTGGATACTTGGGTTTTGCTTGGAAACAGCCTATTAGTTGGAAGTCTAAGAAGCAAGAAACAATATAATTGTCACCTTCAGAGGTAGAGTATATATCACTTATGAAAGTGGTAGATGAAATGGTTTGGATGCATAGGTTAATCACTAAATTAACCATATCTCATAGGTTAATCACTAGGTTAACCATATCTCATTCTTCTCTAGTTGTTGTGTACCGTGACAGTCAAGTTTCTATACACATAACTCACAATCATGTCTTCTATGAGAGAACTAAGCACATTGAAGTCGATTGTCATTTTGTGCTTGATAAATTGCAGGAGAGGCTCATTTCCATTCACCATGTGACCACCAATGAACAACTGGCAGACATTCTCACGAAGTCCCTCACCGGTATCAAACATGCTGCAATTTTTGAACAAGTTGGCTGTGAAATCAGCCTCACCAACTTGAGGATGGGTTTGAGAATTAATACTAAACTAAATTATCTAGCTTAATTATAGTAGTTAGTTAGTTAGTCATGAAGTAATAGTTTGTTAATATGTTAGTTAGTTAAATTGCATATTTGGTTCCTCTAGAAAGTTCTTAGTCACATGTATATAATGTAATAATGATCAATGAAACAAATACAATTTTTCGTTCACCCAAAATATGCTTCATCACAGTTCTCTCCTTCTCCCTTTCAATTGCCATTCATGGCTTGCTGGTTACAGTTTTATAGAAAACTCACCATTACTGTGACGTTTGATAGTTATGTAGCTATCAGAAGTTTCAATAACTTCCTTTAAAAACACAGATGGTCGTGTGTGCAACTAGGTCTTTACTATACCTAGCATAATAGTAGGAAACTTATTGAATCTAATACTTTTCATGTAACAGGTAGAGTATATTCTTTTCATATAATGTTTGCAAAATAGTTCGTTAAATTACTACACTATTATTTAGGGAATTTTTGTTGTGAATGATAATAATAAATAGTCCTCGGATTAAATTATAATATCACTTAATTTATGTTTGGTTGGCAGGTGTGGGATAACTTATCTTGGGATTAATAATTAGTATTGAGATAAGTTATCCCTCCCCTTGGATGGTAGAGTAATCTTGGGATAACTTTCCCAGAATAAAATAAGTAAATGACCAAAATGTTTTTTTTTTCAACCCTTTTGCTACATCACTTTTTACATTCATGGAGATTTTTGTAAACAAATAAATTGTTCTTCAAATTTATTATTTTGAATGCAACAAGCCAAGCACTCAAAAAAAAATTTCATCAATTTATCCCATCATAACTACTCCCATTACTATTTATTTTACCATTATTAATCCCATCATAACTCAAATTTATTATACAAAACAGAGAAACTTTAAAATAGACACCCAAGATCACACCAGTAATATAGAACTTAAGCTTCTACTTTTGGTAAGTAATTACGGGATTCTAGAATTCTTTTAAAAAATGTTTTCTTTTTGTAATTTTTACAAAAACTAGAAAGACGGGTTGAACAAAAATTAAAATACAACATAAATAGTACACGTGACATAGCCTTATTATGTTCTCTCAAGTTAAAACATACTACATTTTTTTCTTATAACAGTCGATTATTAAAAATGTTGTTTAACAACTTAGAAAATTTATTTATGTTTGCGCAATGTGCAAATATATTACTTAGTTTAGAGACCAACTGAAAATCTTTGTATGATTTGTATTGCTTTGTTGATTATTACAATAAACTATTAAGTTATGATTTCATGTCTAAACAAAGAAAACAAAAGGCAAAAAATTAAAACAAAACGAATAAAAATATATAGTTAAAAACTTATGATTATCATGTTTGTATGTAGTTTTACTCGTGTTGTTAATGAATGACAGAAATTAACTAATAAGGCATAAAATAATTGATAATTATACATAATATTAACTTTCGGTATATTTTATATCTACTTTCATTAAATAGTTGAATGCATCCTTTTTTTTAAAAAAAAAAAAAGACAGAATTTTCAATTTGATTTAATTTATTATTTTTATTGTTATCTGTGTCTATATAAAATGAAAATCATAAACATAAAATTTGAATGTAATATATTATCTAAATTTCATTTCTTCATTTTTTTTCATTAATTAGAATAAGAAAGGAAGATTTGATCATTGGTTCATATGCAAAAATTTATATTGTATGACTATAAATACGTAAATTGAATTGCATGTCTGCTAAAATAACTAATAACATTGTTATATACGTGACATTTATTGTCATGGTACATTGTTGCATATTTTGCCTCGAATTTGAATTTCATTTATTACTTATGTATATTGATTCCGTTATTACAAAAAAAAAAATACTTATATGATAGTCACTTAAGTTATTACAATTTAGTTCATGAATACAGAATGTGTCGCTATCTATCAATGAGAAACTTAAAATAACATTTAAAAATATCTAAATCAAAATTTAATAAAAAATTCATACAACATAAAAGAAGAAAATCAAAATTTAATAAACAATTCACACAACATAAAAAAAAAACTTAAAATAACATTTGAAAATATCTAAATCAAAATTTAATGCCGTATAAAGTCTTTCAAAATTTGGTTCAAAATATGTTCAAATTTACAAAAACACCATAATTGTCCACAAATGTAAACTTGCTAGGGAGTGGCTCCTACACAGTCATCGTCATCATCAGAAGTGTCGTCGTAGACATCATCGAAAGCCGATGTAGTAGGTCCACAAGAGAGGTTCATTACTTTTTCTTTAATTTGATAAACAGTTGCACTCATGCTTTCTTGCTCAGCTGCTCTTTACTGCTCCGACTCTGCAAATGCCGCTGTAAATTTAACTATTTGATCAACATAGCAAAATTCTGAACACCATCAAGGGCCTCGACTTGACTAGACGATCCAATTCCTTGTAAGCCTGACTGGAGCCGTCTTACATCGTTCAGAGTACCTAGACCATTGACTCTACCCTTGTGTATCTCCCTACAACATTTTTTGTCCAAATTTGGGTGGAAAAGTTGAGGTGTCAATTGGATCTAACTATCTAAATTCTCAACGATGTAATGCTGAAACTCATTATGCATATTAAATATAAACCTACAACGTTTTTTTTTCAAATTTGGGTGGAAAGTTGATGTGTTAATTGGATCTAACTATCTAATTCTCAGCGATGTAATGCTGAAACTGATTATGCATATTAAATATAAAAATTGACATCAATATATATATAT